AGTAAATATTATGCATTTTATTGCTTGATTCTCGTCATCAACAGCTATTCAACATGAAATACAGGTTGCAACAGTTCTATGGGGGTTTCACAACTTCATATGGGGGGGGAGTTGAGTTCGTTGAGGGCTACAACACCAGTCTTCAAACACTGTAGCTTTGTTGTGGACCCCTACTACTAGGTGGTAAATCCTAATGAGCTATGAGTACATTTGGAAGCACTGTAATCTRACTGATACTGTGCGAAAAAAGGAATAGCCTTCTCAAGAATATAGTTCTTACAAAAATGTTTTCTGTCTCAATTACATGGCTGATCACAGAACTTGTGTCATCATTTTGAGACTATTCATAGTATCGTCGTCATCATCGGCATTGGGCTGTTTTGCTTTCAATTGATTGGGACCGGAAGAGGCACCAACTAAGTTTGTTTGTACGTTGGCAGTAGTGCTACCAGGAATACGACGGAATCGCGTCGGCCCGGGAGCAGTTGGACGTGCACTTTCCAAAAAAGMGGGATTCGTCGGGCTTCGAATCGTAAAAGCACGGGCACTCGTCCTCGACGTACTCCTTCGACGCCTCGGACAGGCAGGGTTTCTCGAAGCTCTCGAGAAAGYCGTCGGTGTTGAATTCGCCAAAAGCAATGGAGGRCCACGAGTTGCCGGCCGCGTCGCAGCACTCAAACCTGGACATCTCGCAGCACAGGCAGCACTCGCACTCTATCGGCGGGGGAGCGGGTACGAGCGCCTGGGCACCGCCGGGACAGCCGCAGTCCGAGGACAGGGCAAYAGTCTTTGGGTTCTTGAAGGCCGGGCCGTCGCAAAATCCGTTCAGGGATCCGGAGAGCTCTATGTTGTTGTAGAGGAGCAATATCGMCAGCGACGGCAGCCCCGACAAATCGGGAATTGTACCGCTGAGGCAGTTGTCGTGGACCGCAAAATTCTCCAGAAGCGACAGTTGTTGTATGGAAGAGGGAATCGTACCGGTCAGGCTGYTCCCTCCGATATTGATTTCCACTAGTGTCTCGTTCAGATAGGATAATTCTTCCGGAATAGTACCCGTTAGGCCGTTCCAGTCTAAATGGAAATTGGTAGTTCGTACGTACCGCATGGTTTGCCATTTGYAGGAACCAATCGCGGGGTTCGGGCACGAGGCACATTGCAAGAGASAGTACGAGAGTCCAGCAYACAACAGCGGACAGCGGTGTTCCAAGAAACCACAAGAGTTGGGCAACATCGCAACAATGTGAGAGTTCTAGAAACGAATGGGAAAACAAAAAAATGGCATTGCATGTCACAACACACACAAACACACACAACGCTGCTGGCCGAAASACAAACCGGCACGTTGCATTTCTTCCMTACAAATCCAWACACACACATGCGCACGCATTKCAGTACGGTACACGAACGATTCGGTGTTTGTGATTTTTTGTTTCTTTCGAACGTACACGTCGCAATGTTCGTCACCCGGCCCTGGTCGTTGCAGACAATGCCCCGCGGGTCGTTGTCGTTGCTCACTAAGCACTCTTCACCGTCTTCGCAGTCGCAGACCTCAATATCTTTGATGCACTCCCTCTGCGACTCTTCCGCGTTCCAGTCGCACTCGTTGGTGCCCTGGAGGAACTTGTACTGGTGTTGCCAATCGTCGCCACCCGTGGCGAAATAAAACACGGCAAGAACGTAGAGCTGCCGAATGTGCCACAGCTGAGTCKCATCGTCCAGCGGAAAGGGTGATTTCCGGTCTTCTTCCACGAGCCAATCCAGCGCTTCGATGCGGTCGACCGAGAATTCTTCGCTGTCGGGATCAAAGACGGCTTCACCGCTGATGGGGGCAAGAATGGAACGGATGGACTCGAGGCGTTCCGGATCGACGGGGGGAACCACCGCRGTGGCCTCGCCCTCGGCTTGGCTTTTGCTGCCCCGCAGCGACAGCGCCACCACCAGGACGACGACAACAAGGGCGGCCACCGCCGCCACCACCACCAAGACSTTGTTCTTGGGAGTTTTGTTCGCTCCTTCTCTCACAACGGTAGCCTCGACTGCTGCTACAGGCTCGATATCTTYCACGGGCGTTGCCTCCACGAGGTTTCCATCGCTGTTCGCAGTGTTTCCGGCGAGCCTCGATGGGACCGTGACCGTTGCCGTGAGTGTTGCCGTCGCCGTGGTCGAAGCAGGCCCGGAAGCCGCCGACTCCAAAGCCGTAGATGCGGAAACTTCCGGTGCTGAACTTTCCGTTTCGGGTGCAACAGCGGCTTCGAGGTCGTTGGGTTTGGCAAGAGGCGCAACTCCGCCCGAGACTTCGTTTTCCTCTTTGGTCATGTTGGGAATGGTAAGAGAAATCCACCTGTACTCGTAGTCGCTCGACGTCTTTGGTTGGTGAACAGCGTTTTAGTTGTTACTGTAGTTTATTTATTCAGTAGACTCAAATGCAGTTTCCACGCTACTTATGTCCTCGTGACTTTCAATAATGAGATTCAGAAACGAATGCGATTCAATAATGAGATTCAGTAACTAATACGATTCAATAWTGACAGGCACCGAAATAATGGTGCAGTAATGTTGTTGTTCTCCWTAACAACAAACAAGAACTCTACCGGCATGTGTTGCGATACGTTACCTTTTTACGTCTCGATCACTTGGGGAGACAAGTCATAGCAGTATTGCCAAGATGTTGTCGATTAAAAATGAAAAATACAGGAATGAAATYCCTCGTTGGGCTTTGTTGGACTTTCCTTCYTACSGTACG